TTTTTTTTTTTTCAGGAGAATACACTTTAAAAGTTGACCTTGCTGATTTTGAAAAAAATAGCCGTTATGCACAGTATAAAAATTTCAAAGTGGGAGATGAAAAGGTATTAACAATTGTCAAATAAATAGCACCATGAATAAATGCTAAAAAAACACAATATAACTCTGAAGTCAGTGGATATAACAATATACAATAGAACCTGTTCTATTGTTCATTAAATGGGCATTTTTTATTTCTTTTTTTTACTGTGCTTTAGATGAAAGTTTACAGAGCAAATTAGTTTCTCATTAAACAATTAATACACGTATTGTTTCATGACATTGGCTGCCAACCCTGTGATACGTCAGCACTCTCCCCTTCTTGACCTTGGGTTGTTCCCCATTTCCGCTCGTCCAGCTTTCCTGTCCCCTGATGCCTTCTCGCCCTTGCCCCTGGCTGGTGTGCCCATACATTAAATGGACATGTTTTTTAAATGGTGACTGTTGATTATAGAGTTTGCCTCTTTTCCTTTAGAATGCCTATGAATTGAATATCGGGGAATATTCCGGAACAGCTGGAGACTCCCTTGCCGGGAATTTTCATCCTGAAGTTCAGTGGTGGGCTAGTCACCAAAGAATGAAATTCAGCACCTGGGACAAAGACAACGACAACTACAAAGGGAACTGCGCAGAAGAGGACAAGTCTGGCTGGTGGTTTAACAGGTTCGGAGTTGTATAAACACAGTTGTAATGGCACTGATAATATCTCACTGCTAGGTGTGCATTATAATCTATGAGGTAATGTTGGTCTTATTTGTAATGCTAGTATTAGGGAGCAATCATCCTTACTTAAATTCTTCAGCGATGGCGTATTACTGAAGATTGTTCACTGTGTACATTGAGTAGAGCTTGAAAGATATGGCATAGAAATAAGAAGATCGGCCAAGAAATAATGAAATCACTACTTTTATAAAGAGGTCTGCAAAGGTGTATTATGGGTGAGGTATCACAGACAGTAGACCACAAACTGACACAAAGAAATAGAAAGCATTTATATATACACAAAATATTGTGGTACTCGGAGAGCCAACTGCAGTCCCCGCATGGTGCAAATGGTTAATGTGCTTGGTTGGTAACTGAAAGGTTGGAGGTTCGAGACCATCCACAGGCACCTCAGAAGAAATCACTCAGCTGTTGAAAACCCTATGGAGCACGGTTCTATTCTCACACACGGGGTTGCCATGAAACGGAATCCAGTCGACAGCAACTGGTGTTTTGCTTTTAAGAACCAACCAGTGCCTCACAGTCCACTATCATACAAAATGGCCATTCTAGTACTGTAATTTTTTCTATCTAGTACTACTTTTCAGTTACTTAGACATTCACTGAATCATTGAATCCAAGCTTTTTCCAATGTAGAAATTTCCTCTAAAATATTTCTGAAACCTGATTCCACCCTTTGATTGCATACTCTGATGCT